AAAAAAAAAAAAAAAAAAAAAAGGCTGGAGATATAATGCAGTATTACAGCTCCTCTGAGTTCAACCCTTGGTACCGGGGTGTGGGAGGGGGCAACTAAGGAGGGTAAGCAAGTGAGTTCTGCTATCGGGAGCTCTTAAACCTTGTTGGACAAAGGGTCAATAGATAAGGAGCAGGCAGTGATTAGATCTGAGTGGTGGATCCTATTCAGTTAATGTGTTGGCAAATCCTGGCATGTGGGACGACCGTTCGAAAGTTACCTGGCACTGCTACAAGACGCTACCCCATCTTAAGGGGTCACCATCAAACGACATCTTCCTTAAGTAAGTTTTGGAGTGATGAAGGAAATCAGCGGAAGCAATGTTATTCTAACTGGAACCGGATGGGATATGCGCGTGGGGGCCTTACAGGAACAGAGCTGGGACCCAGCTACACCGGCCCCTGGAGCATTGGCAGCCGTGTTCCTCGCACGTCTGCCCAGACTATTTCGGCTCCTCTCGGCCTCCGTGGCGCGGCCGCGCTCAGCTGCTGGGGGCGGGGTCTTCGCCGACCATGGCGGTGGAGCTGGAGGCAAGCAAGTCCCTGAGCGGGCTGCTGAGCGGCCTGGCTCAGGACGCTTTCCACGGGCACCCGGGCATCACAGAGGAGCTGCTGCGGAGCCAACTTTATCCAGAGGTGTCCCCCGAAGAGTTCCGCCCGTTCCTGGCGAAAATGAGGGGCATTCTGAAGGTACTCCCAGCCCCTTCTCTCCAGCTGCCCGGCCCCCGCGCCCCCTCCGGGCTTCCCGGCTCAGACTGCTGTTCCGGGCCCCCGCACTGCCCTCCTTCTATCCGCGGCGCTCGCTGCGTGCCTCCTCCCTTTCCTAAGGGCGACCGTTTTCTGCTGAAGATGCGCCATCTGCAGGGTTGCCCAGCACTGTTTATCCCCCCAGCAGGACGTCTTTCCTGTCTGCCGTGTAGGCAGCGATTTCCAGTTTCTTTCTCAGTTGTGTGTGCTGTGAAGCGCAGTGGGTCGTCCCCCGGCTTTCCTGGGGGGTGGAAGTTGAGAGCATTAAATGAGCACGAGTTTGCGAGGGTAAGTGGTGAGTTAGTTGGAGTGAATACCTGTTCAGCAGTCGACTGTAGGGTTAAGAGACCAAATTTAACAGCGCGAAGTCAAAGTGAAGATCAGATCCGGCCGTTCAGTGACAGGATTCGTTTTTGTTTTTGTTGGCTTTTTTTGAGACAGGGTCTCTCTGTGCAGTTCAGGCTGGCCTTGAGCTCACTTTGTAGCCCAGGCTGGTCTCGAACTCGCAACCGTCATCCTGCCTCAGCCTCCCGAGTGCTGGGATTACAGGCGTGCACCACCACACCCAGCAGGTGAAATGAATTTTAATGTTTACCTGACTCAGTGTATTCAAAGTGTTGTCACCTCACATTTAATTATACAAAGTATTAAGCTTTTGTTATTTTTGAAATAGGGTGTGTAATTTCCACTTAAATCACACATCATTTGGAAGTAGCCATATTTCAAATGTTCTGTGGTCACAAGTGTATAATGACCACGGTATTGGAGAACTCTGGTTTAAAGGGAGAATTAGTCATAGGAATACAGTAGTGCCAAACTGTACTCTAAAGATAGATTGTAAAAATAGTGATTTTTGTTGCTTTCCTATCTGTTTAGAAATGTACTAGACGTTTTACAGGTCCTTTTGTTTGTTTCTTGCAAAAACATGGTACTCATCCACTTTAAAGATTAGGAAACAGTTTCAGGGAGTCTAAACAGCCACAAATCATAATCAGCTTAAAGTCAGTGTTGAAATTTCACCTATATTTGCTGTTTGTTTCAAAACTGCTTATGTTTTTATCTTTTGCTTTTTTGAGACAGGGTCTCACTATGTAGTTCAGGCTGGTTTTGAACTCACTATGTAGCCCAAGTTGGCTTTGAATTTGAGGGCATCCTCCTGACTCCACCTCCTAAGTGCTGGAATTACAGGTGTGGACCACCATGCTTGGGTAAAGTTGCTTTTTTTGTTGTTGTTGTTTTTGTTTTGTTTTTTGAGGCAAGGTCTCACTATGTAGTTCAGAGTGGCCTTAGACTCACTGTATAGCCCAGGCTAGCCTTTGATTCATGGTGATCCTCCTACCTCAGCCTCCCAAGTGCTGGGATCACAGGTGTGTACCAATACACCCAGCTTGCTGCTTATATTTTTATTTTTTTGTTTTTCTTCTGGTACCAGGAATTGAACTCACGACCTTGTGCTTGCCAGGCAGGCACTGTGCCGCTGAGCTAAATCCCCAGCTCCATTGCTTATATTTTTAAAAGGCAGTTTTGTAATAGTATTTTTGGTGTTGGGAATTTGAACCCAGGGCTTTGCAAATGCATGTGCTGTCCCAATGAGCTATACCTTCAGCCCTTGCTTTTTAATGTTCTTTATTTTTTTAAACTGCTTTTATTTAAAGGATTTGAATGCAGGAAACAAAAACAGAGCCTGGTGCACGTCTATAGTCTGTAATCCCAGCACTTGGGAGGCTGAGGCAGGAGGATCGTTATGAGTTTGAGACCAGCTTGGGCTACACCATAAGCTCAAGGCCAGCCTGAACTGCACAGCGAGACCCTGTCTCAAAAAGACAAAAAAAAAAAAATCCCCAAAACAACAAAGCAACTACTTCACAGAAAGTAAATGAATCATTTCCTGGAAGTGTAAGTAGTCATAGGTCTGATTGTACACATTGTAAATAATATTAGTTGATACCATAAATCACTACTGAATGCCTTCTCTTTCTATCAAATCTTACTCTTAAGCAACCAAAGGACGTTTAGAAAATTTGACATTGTACAGGGTTTTTTTGAGGGGTTTGCTAGGCTCAGGGGAATGAAGGTGAGGAATGGCAGTCAAAGAAAAACAGCATGTGTGTCAACAATGCCTTAGGGTCTCCAAAGATTAGGAACGGGTACTCTTCTCTAGGTGCACCATGTTTTGATCTCTGTCTTACTATGAGATAAATACTGTGATAAATACTAGTCCCATTTGATCCCAGAGAAGAGAATGCCTGAAAACTTTCTCTTTTGTTTTCCTGTAAGTACGTCGCTGAGTAATATTCAGGACACTTAAGCTTTCTGAGTGGTTCTGGGTTGCAAAGCTGGCATGGCTCTATTGGTGTTGTCAGTAGGCCACAGGACATTTGCCTGTGCCTAGTAGCACAGGGTTTACACAGCTATTTGGTTTGCAAAACCCAGGGAAAAAGCCTTTGATTGTTTAACTTAGGGCTGAAACCATAGGTTAAGGATGACATCTGTTTTTATTTGTTATGTTTTGAGACAGGGTCTCACCATGTAGTACAGACTAGCCTTGAACTCGGTTATGTAGCCTCGGCTGGCCTCAAACTCGTGGTGATTCTCCTGCCTCAGCCTCTTGGGTGCTGATGCCCGGCCATGACATCTCTTTTTAATCTCCATTTACCTTGTGAGTAACAGCAGTGGGTCAGTGTTTTTAGGGAAGCAAACAAAGCAAACGTGATTTTTAGGTTTTTTTTCTTCTAGGGACAAATCCTAAGATATTGTTTATACTGTCTGCACACATGCTCTTATGTTTAGTCCAGGCTGCCCTTGAACTTGCTCACAGCTCAGAATGGCCTCTAATTCATGATCCTCTTGCCTCAGCACCTAAAGTGCTAGGCATACAGATACATGCGACTGTACCTGTAACAAACATTATTTTTAAACAAAAAACTTTGAGCAGCAATAGAACGTCCATCTGCAATAAGAGGAAACATGCACAGATAAATACGATGCAAGAATGCTGTAGTATTTGAAGCCAGGAGTGGTAGCACATGCCTGTAATCCCAACACTCAGAAGGCTGAGGCAGGAGGATTGTGGTGAATTTGAGACCAGCCTGGGCTACATAGCGAGTTCAAGGTCAGCCTACACTACAAAGTGAAACCCTGTCTCAAAAAAGAAAGCTATAGTATTTGTAAAAAGAAGTGTGAATAAGCAATTGTGGACAGAAAAGATACTACTTTTTTCTGGCAGTCTCCTTGGAGATACCATTTTTATTGTTCTTGAAGAAAGTGAAGAATATTTTAGACTGAAATTAGGGTCAGCCATAGGGCATCTGAGAGTAAGAAAATAGCAGAAATGGGCGGAAAAATGTAGAGCATGTTAGCAAATGGTAAGTAGTCCCATTTGATCATAATGTGGGGATACTGGGAGACATTGGTGGAGGAGGCAAGAAAAAAATGAAACCACATTTATTTCCACAGACTATGGGTATTTACAAATAGGTGACAGCAGAGTTCGTATCTTTGAATCATCTGTGGGAAATCATGGTCTGCGAAGAAATAAAAAATGAATAGGGATAACAGGGGTAGGAGAAAAAGAAGGAAAGGATGTATAATCACCAGCAGGGACTACAGCACACTTTGTAATAGCCTTTTTTTTTTTTTTTTTTGTGGTGCTGGGGGTTGAACCCATGGCGTCATGTTCCAGGCAAACACTCTACCACTAAGCCAAACTCCAGTCCTCCAGTCCTATTCACAGCTTCCTGTTGTCAGCTGCCTTAGAATATGTTTCCGAGGTTATAGCAGCTTTTCCCTGTCTTTCATGTTGTACCCAGGTAGTGCACTGATTCCTGGCATTTGTACTGACCCTTGCTTTCTACTCAGTGGAGCTCCCTGGGGCTGGGGATGTAGCTCAGTGGCACAGTGCCAGCCTGGCAAACACAAGGTCCTGAGTTCAATTCCTGGTACAAAAAATACCCTAGATAGTCTTAGAATGGAGCTCCCTACATGACTTGGCTGGGACTTTCTCTAGCTTTACCTGTTAATCATAAAAGGGCAAACATTTCATATATATGAAGCAGGCCATTCACCTCTGGTTTTTATTTTGGGAAGCACTCCGGGAGCAGTGAAATCAGGAGTTAGGAGTAGTGTCTTAGGGAAACAACATCCTATACAAATACAGTACTCTGACTGCTATACACTGCCATTTTAATTTTTTTTTTTTGCTCACTTTTATAATTTAAACTTCTTGTGAGTATGAGTTTTCATATTCATTATTTATTTGCTATTGCTTTTAAATTTGTGGGTATTTCTCTAAGTTCTAGTTCATTAGAATTCATCTTTTGTTCATTTTTATTCTTTATTCATTACTGCCCTCTACTGGTGACTTTGTATGTCCTTGCTGGAATGTCCTAACACTGTATAAAAATTTTTAATAAAAATTCGTATTTGCTATTAATTGATGTACTCTTTCTCTTAGTTCTGTCTGGGTTATATCATTTCATTCTTTCATTATAATCTGAATTTTAAATTATGTTTACATCCTAATTTAAAAGTCCAGAAATACGTGCAAGTTCATAGCTTGAGGGCAGCTCAGCAAGGGTGGCAAGGATGGCAGAGAGCATGTAGAGGCCTGGCCGGCCTGTGGGCTGCATAAGTCCAGAGCCCTGTGGGGCTGTAGTTGCCTCCTGTCAGCTAAGATGGGAGTGCAGAACCAAGTCGCCACCCGCCACCCATGGAGCGAGTGCAGATAATCAACCATTTCACGTTCGTGGCTTCACATCAGACTTTATATTTTTGTGCGTTCATTTCACAAATGCTTACGAGGCATCTTAACTGTATGCCCTGCACTGTGCTTGGTTACTTTTCTCTTGTTGCTGAGACAAAATACCTAATGCTCAAAATTAAGGAAGGAAAGGTTCATTTAGTTCACAGTTTGTGGAGGTTTCAGTCCATATTTGGCTGGCTGT